AAAAGGTCTTCATCGGTTTTCGAAGTATATACAAGCATTTTATTTTAAATATAAGATTATAATGATGTACCTTTTTGCCATAGCTTGCAAACAACATGCTATAGAAATTAGACATTCTCAGAACATTTCTTTTGGATAAGTATTAAAACTTCTTAAAAGATTTCATGTGCATAAATGACAAGTAATGTTGGGGGAGTTAGAAGTTCCATTTAGGACTTCCAAGATGGCGGCGGCTAGTGTGCAGCTTAGCTGAAGGGGAGAGGACCCGCAACGCGAAAATTGGTGAGTGACGGGGCTGATCAATCCAGAACAGAGTTATCTAGACTTCCAAGAAGAAAGAGACTAAGCATAATCTGAGTCCATCTAGAATCAGGTCACGGCAGACTCCTCTGGGAGGAGACACCCCGAGAGGTGATCCCCGGGCACTTCCTGGCACCCAAAACATTACTGAGAAAACCCACTCTCCGAACGCCAGCCACCATAACCCTGCCCCGGCAGAGCGGAGGAATAGAGAGGCGCAGAGCAGCTTCACAGGACCCCGACCCCAGGGCTGCCGGCTGCTCCTAGCAAACAAACTTCAGCTCAGGATCTGGGACTGTGGTCATTCAACACATCCTGAGACTCTCCCGGGTCCAGCGCAATAAGGTCTAGCACCAAGTCCTAACCCCAGCGCCCCCCCCCCCGGCCCCTGGCAGAGAAACCCTGGCTCAGGATCAGGACTGAGAAGTCCCAACCTCTTCTGGCACTCCCCTGAGAGCTCTGCCATAAGCTTGCCCTAGCAGAGGGGAAGGACAGAGAGGCAGCCTGCCACAGGACACAGCACCCCCTCTCTAGCTTACCCAGCGGCCCCTGGCAGAGAAACCCAAGCTCTGGATCTGAGGACACTCAACCCTACCTGGTACTCTCTTGGGATCAGCAAACATAGGTTCTACAGCCAGGCTGCTTCTGGCAGAGAGATCTGGGCCCAGAATCTGGGATTGAGAACACTCAACCCAACTCTCTCCCGTGCTACCCTGGGACCAGCCAACATAACCCCTCCTGGCAGAGGGAAAGGACAGAGAGGCAGCACACAGAAAAGGTGGACACCGAGTCCTGTGGCCACAGTGCCACAGAGCTGACTCTTTACTCTCAGATAGTATCCATCTTTGTGGCTGAGGTAAGTTTCCTGTATGAAACAGAACGATAGGCCCTGTTTACATATCCATTGTTTTAGTCTGTGTCTTTTTATTGGAGAGTTGAGTTCATTGATGTTGAGAGAGATTAATGACGAGTGACTATTACTTCCTTTTATTTTGATCTTGGTTGTGGTAGTGTATTTGTGTGCTTGTCTATTTTTGGTTTTTCTTTAACGAAGTTATTTATATCCTGTTTTTTCTTTGAGGGGTTGCAGTTTACCTCCTCGGGTGGGAGTGTTCCTTTTAGTATTTTGGGCTTGGTTTATGCACAGATATTGTTTTGGTTTTGTCATGGAATATCTTGTTTTCTTCCTCTATGGTGATTGAAATTTTTGCTAGGTATAGTAGTCTGGCATCTGTAGCCTCTTAGGGTTTGCAAAAATGTCTGCCCAGGCCCTTCTGGCTTTTATGGTTTGTTTCTGTTGAGGAATCAGATTTGACTCTGATAGGTTTGTCATTATATGTTACTTGGCCCTTTTTCTTTGCAGTTTTTAATATTTTTCTTTGTTCTGTACATTTAGTATTTTAATTATTATGTGGCAGGAGGTTATATATTTAGTGTTCTGTATGCCTCTTTTATGTTTACAGGTATCTCTTTCTTTAGCTTGGGGAATTTTTCTTCTATGGTTTTGTTAAATATATTTTGGGGGCCCTGGAACCTAGAGTCTTCTCTTTCTTTTATTCCTATTATTCTTAAGTTTCATCTTTTCATGGTGTTCTTGATTTCTTGAACATTTTCCATCAGGAATATGTTTTTTTTTTTTTAGATTTAACATTTTCTTTTATGGATGCATCATTTTCTTCCATTGTGTCTTTTACATTAAAATTCTTTCCTCCATCTCTTGCATTTTGTTGGTGATGCTTATTTCTGTAGTTCCTGTTTTCTTCCCTAAGTTTTTCATCTCCAGAATTTCCTGTTTGTTCGTTCTTTTTTTGTTTTGTTTTGTTTTAGAAGGAGCTTCTTTCTTTCTTTTAAATATAGAATTTTTTATTTTTTTTATTAATTACACTTTATTCACTTTGTATCCCCCCATAAGCCCCTTCCTCCTTCCCTCTCAGTCTTACCCTCTCTCCCCCTTCTTTGCACATGCCCCTCCCCAAGTCCACTGATAGGGGAGGTCCTCCTTTCCTTCCTTTGATCTTAGTCTATCAGATCTCATCAGGAGTAGCTGCATTGTCATCTTCTGTGGCCTGGTAAGGCTGTTACCCCCTCAGGGGAAGGTGATCAAAGAGTAGGCCAATCAGTTTATGTCAGAAGCAGGCCCTCTTCTCATTTCTATGGAACCCACTTGGACACTAAACTGCCATGGGCTACATCTGTGCAGGGGTTCTGGGTTATCTCCCTGCCTGGTACTTGGTTGGAGTATGAGTCTCTGGGAAGAACCCTGTGTTCAAATTTTCTGGTTCTGTTGCTCTCCTTGTGGAGCTCCTGTCCTCTCCAGATCTTACTATTTCCCACTTCTTACATAAGATTCCATGCACTCTGCCCAACAGTTGGCCATAAGTCTCAGTGTCTGCTTTGATAGTTTGCAGGGCAGAGCCTTTCAGAGGCCCTCTGTGGCAGGTTCCTAACTTGTTTCCTGTTTTCTTCTTCTTATGTCCTTCCTCTTTGCCTTTCTGGATGGGGATCGAACATTTTAGTCAGGGTCCTCTCTGTTGATTAGTTTCTTTAGATGTACAGATTTTAGTAGATTTATCCTCTATTGCATGTCTATATGAGTGAGTATATACTGCGTGTGTCTTTCTGCTTCTGGGACAGCTCACTCAGGATAATCCTTTCCAGGTCCCACCATTTACCTGCAAATTTCATGAATTCCTCATTTTTCATTGCTGAGTAATATTCCATTGTTTAGTTGTACCACAATTTCTGCATCCATTCTTCAGTTGAGGGGTATCTAGGCTGTTTCCACCTTCTGGCTATTACAAATAAAGCTGCTAAAAAACATGGTTGAGCAAATGTCCTTATTGTGTACTTGAGCCTCTTTTGGATATATGCCTAGGAGTGGTATGGCTGAATCTTATTTCTATTTCTGCCTTCAGATCTTGAATCGTTTTGTATTTTCCTTAATTTCTTTAAACAATTTGTTCAATTCCTTCTCATCTTTGTATTTTCCTGTATTTCTTTGAGTACTTTATTTGTTTCCTCTATAAAAGACTCAATATGTTTGACTATATCTTCGTGTATTTTTTTAAGGGTTTTGTTCATTTCTTATGTTATCATCTTTAGGAGCATAGATTTAAGTCATTTGTGTGTGTGTTTCAGTTATGTTATGGTATCCAGCGCTGCCTACCATAGGATAACTGGCTTTTGGAGATGCCATAGCGCTCTGGCTTTTGTTGATTGTGTTTTTATGCTGGCCTTTAGGCATATGGTTGTCCCTGGCATTGGCTGGTAGTTCCTGATACCTGCTGTCCATGGCACTGGCTGTTTGTTACTAGAACCTACTATGTTTCTTAAGCTTTTGTGATCCAGTGAGGTTCTGCTAGTCTCCTCAAGACAGCTAGCAGAGCTGAAATGAAAGCTGGATCTGCAAGTCTATGGAGTCCAGAGTTGTGTTTAGTATGGCAGGAGAAGTTCAGAGGGACACAAATGGTGCTGGTGTTTTAGAGTCGGCTACTCTGTGGTTTTCTGGCCAAGATTATACTGTGCTCTTGATTCTCAAATTCATTTGGGCTCCACCATCTTAAATCCAAGAGCCTATAGGCTCTTAATGTCCATCTGGTCTTTGGAGGGGAACCAGTATAACTATTGATTGGAGGTTGGCATGCTGTCCCCAGTATCCAGGTACTGCCCTTGGGGAAGTGGGAAGAATCTGAAGTCTGGTTGTTGGAACTGAGTGCTGCTCAAACTGGACAGATACCAACTCAAGTAGGCAGAAAGCATGGAGGCTCACCATGCACGACTCCTAGACCTGGGAAACAACCTCAGAGGACTCATGACTCTGTGTCCCAAGCTCCTGGGATGTTCCCTCCTACCCGGGAAACACTTATGTTGGTGTTTTGGAGTCAACTACCAGATTACTCACCAGATTCAGTCTCTGATCTTCTGCCACTCAAATACAGTATGCACTGGCCCCAACCATCTTCAAGTTTTGGAGTCAACTGCCAGATTACTCACCAGATTCAGTCTCTGATCTTCTGCCACTCAAATACAGTATGCACTGGCCCCAACCATCTTCAAGTTGAGTTAGAGGTTCTTTTTTTTAATTTTTTTAATATTAGTTACAGTTTGTTAACTTTGTATCCCTGCTGTATCCCACTCCCTCTTTCCCTCCCAATCCCACCCTCCCATCCTCATCTCCTCCCTGCCCCCTTCCAAGTCCACTGATAAGAGAGAACCTCCTCCCCTTCCATCTGATACTGGTTTATCAGGTGTCTTCAGAACTCCCTGAAAAGTCCTCCTCTGTGTCCTAGCAAGTGTATCAAAACAGATATTAAGACTCATAACCAAACCTCTGGCAGAATGCAGGGAACCAAAAGAAAAAGGGGGGGGGAGTTAATAAGACAAGAAGAGGACAGGAGTTCCACAAGGACCAAATATATCTGGGCACAGGGGTCTTTTATAAGACTGTTTCTCCAAACAAGGACCATGTATGGTGTTAGAGGTTCTTAAGTTTAAATTTTGTATGTTATTGTAGGTAGCAAACAGGCATGAAATAAAGAAGTGGTTGAATAGAACACAATAGAGTGTAGACACTGTCTCTCAGTCATAGAACTGTTTGTATTCAATGATTACAACACATTAATTACATAAGAATGAACTTTAGTTTGTTGACTTTGAGACAGAATACCTCTGTCAACTGTATTAACCTAGACATTGGCATAATCCTGTACTAGACTCCTGAAGTGGAATTCTAGACATGGTATGTAGAACTGTGGCTGGCAATGTCTATCTATTATCTATCTATCTATCTATCTATCTATCTATCTATCTATCTATCTAT